GCTGGCCATGAGGCACAGGGAGGGCAAAGCAGACCCACAATGATGCCAGTCTCCACGGCTGCTGGTGTAGTTCCAGGTATCTGCCTCTCCTTGGGCTTTCTGGTAAACAGAAAGGATGACTGTAAATACCGAAGTGAGACTGGGGGTTGAACAAATACCTCCAGCAAAGGATTTAATTGAATTATGTCTTGTTAAAGCCCTGTATGTTTACTTTCATGACCAATGAATGCTGTGTGACCAACGCTCAAGGCCTACACTGAGGTTTCTCATTCCTCATCCATAAGGTTTGGCCTTGATTAGCTCTATTGAAGGAAATCAGAAACATGATGTGATCCTGCATTAGAAACACTGAAAAGTCCCCCCAGTGTCAGGAGGCACTTGCAAGAGAGAATCACTGTAGCATTCAAATGACATATGAAGCAAATCCATCCTTTAGGACAGAAAAGGTATGTGCCTGTTTGGTACTAAACCTGTAGCAAAAGAAGTTTTCTACCTTCCACAAGTCACAATTTTTGGTCGTGAGGCATGAAAATATGCCTGTCCCCCAATAAGCAAGCACCTGTTTAGAGCCAGCAAGAAACCAGTTGGGCAGAACATTTAAACAAGGAGCACTTGGGGTTATCCTGAAGCGGATGAAGCCAAATGACCCAGATAGAATGGTGCCCCATAAGCAAGTGGTGCTGTAGGGAGGAGAGATGGTGTAGGTGAGCTAACGGAAAACATGTATGTGAGGATGCTACCCTGTTACAGAGACCACTTACAGCTATCGACAAAGAACTTAGATAGGGAACACTCCCTGGAGCTCACCCAGGCCAGAGATAAGCTCTCTCAGAAACCAGGAGGTCCTGGAGAGAGTCCTCAGAAGGATTTTGCCTCAGTGCTGGGAAAACCAACTTTAGACTAAACGTTACTCTGGTTCTTCCTAATAAAGCTTACAAACAAGACCCAGAAGAATCAAACTAGTTCCAAGTAATGAACTGTAGCCCAGAACAACCTTACGAATATTTATAGTGATACGAAGATATCCAGCACCCAGCTATATATAATTCACAGTATCCGTTATCCAATAAAAAATTACTAGGCAAGCTCTGGCCAGGTAGCTCAGTTGGTTAGAGCGTCATTCCGATACACCAAGATTATAGGTTCAATCCCCGGTCAGGGCACATACAAGAATCAACCAATGAATGTGTAAATAAGTGGAACAACAAATTGGCATTTCTCTCAAATTAATAAATAAAAATGTTTTAAAAATATCTAGGCAAGCAAAGAATTTAGGAAATACAGGCCTTAATGAAGAAGGGGGAAAATATGAATCAAAAACTAACTAAAAATGGCATAGGTGATAAAATTAATAGACAAGGATCCTATCTAATAAAAGAGTAATATGCAAATTAACCATCACTTTGTGATAAAGATGGCAGCATCCACAGCCAATAAGGAGGGAATATGCAAATTGATGTGACAAAGATGGCAGCGCCGGCCGGAGAGCGGGCGGGAAGCCAAGCCTGGCTGGAGAGCAGAGAGCAGGCAGGAAGGCTTGGCTTCCTGGGTTGCCCCAGAGACCAAGGAATGAGGATAGGGGCGATCAGGCCAGGAGGGGAGGGCAGTGGGGGTGATCAGGCCAGTGGTGGGGGAAGTTGGGGGTGAGCAGGCTGGTAGGGGGGGGCAGTTGGGGGCGAGCAGGCTGGCAGGCAGAGTGGTTAGGGAGATCAGGCAGGCAGGCAGGTGAACAGTTAGGAGCCGGCGGTCCTGGATTGTGAGAGGGATGTCTGATTGTCGGTTTAGGCCCGATCCCACAGGGGCAGTCGGACATCCCCCAAAGGGTCCCAGATTGGAGAGGGTTCAGGCCGGGCTGAGGGACACCCCCCCCCAAACTGGTACACTGAGCCACTAGTATTGTTATAACTATATTCCAGATGTTCAGGGAGCCAGAGGAAAGACTGAACAAGTTGAGACATGGAAGATGTAAGTTTTGAATTCTTAGAAAACAAAACTATGATGCAAGAGATAAAAAGAATAAACTGATAAAAATAATACTAATACCTATTAATAGCAGAATTGATTTCATGAAAAAGTTGCATTAAACTGTTTTTCCCCCCACAACAAAGATAGCTTTCTAGCCAAATTGCCGGGGTCCAACCCCAGCAGGTCCAGGGGTCCCCAAAGGTGTGGATGGAGTCGGCGAAGAAGGAATGACACGGAGACAGCGTTCAGTTGATCAGCAGCCTATCCAGGATCTCTAGCCAAGTTCTGGTCAGGATCTCCAGTGAAGTTCTGGTTAGGATCTCCAGCCAGGTTCTGTGTCCATGTTGTCTTGCTAGGTTCTCCAGCCAGGTTCTCCAGGTTCTCCAGCCAGGTTCTGTAGCCAAGTTCCCTCGCTAGGTTCTCCAGCCAGGTTCTGTCCAGGTTCTCCAGCCAGGTTCAGTCACTAGGTTCTAGTCAGGTTCTCTTGCCAATTTCTGTAGTCAGGTTCAGTCCAGGATCTTTTGCCATGTTCTCTCGCTAGGTTCTGTCTCTAGGTTCTGAGGCCAGTTTCTGTCCAGGATCTTTTGCCATGTTCTCTCCAGCGAAGTTCTTCTGTCTCTAGAGAACGTTCTGTGTAGGTTCTGTGCCTAGGTTCTGTCTCTCCTGGTTCTGTCTTCTTACATCTGTATTTATACCAGTTGATTCCAAGCCTATCAATCTCTATTTCAAAGGTTAGGGCGTTTCTTATCTCCATTCCAGGGAGTAAAGATTATGTAGCTTAAGCATGATTGTTCATAGTTAAAGTGATTAATTACCCACCTGGCACTTAGTTAAGAGGTTTTATTCCCTCCCTAACTTCAGGGGAAAATCCCTACCTGGGGAAACAACCTTTCTCAGAGACCTTGGTTAAAACACATAGTGCCAAGAAGGTGAGCAAACATATTAAGAACAGTATGCCATATATGCCAGGTCCCTTGAAACAACAATCATGGACCGGCTCCCGGCACCAAATATTTATCAGCACCTAATTAAGACAACTAAGCTGATCTGTGTTTAGTGCATCCTGTGCCCAATTGGTTCCCAGCACCACCCACCTGGTTCCCATGTGACCAAGGGACCCTGCAGATTCGTTTAGACTCACAGATACAGGTAGGTGGCATGTCACCCTGCCCCGCCCACAACAATTCGAGGCTCACTTTGTCAAGAGGCGCTGGCATTCTTTGAACACCTCCATTGGGGAAGAATCTGGCTTGTGCTCCAGCCAAGGGGACGCCGAAATCACAGCAACAGAGAGCAAGGCCAACAGATGTTGCAAGTATGCATGAAGAAGCCTTCTGGCCGGGGCTCCCAGCTCCTCCTTGCTCCCCTGTTTATTTTTGCATGCCATCTAGACAGGCGTGGAAAAGGAAAATGGATTTTGGGCTTTATAGAGCTCTCTTGTCTCATGTGGCTACAGTTTTTCGAATGTAGCATTCTAAAAACTATCCAGTACATAGAGTCTGCACTACAGGAGCGCCCCACTTTGAGCAAACAATGGGCGCAAGACGCAGCCACAGTCATTCATTAAAGAGCCTTATGTTTTCAGAAATGATGAATTGCATATGATTTTTAAACAGCAAATCCCTCGGTATACTTAAGATTCAAGTTTAAAAAAAATCTGAGCACAGGCAGCTTTTAGGAAAACATCTCTTCGCTAAAATGAGATAGACGTCTACATCCCTATTCGACTTGGTCCTGGCCAGCCTCTTACTTGAGAGCCAGGGCTTCAGTCACTATCATTAAAGGGACATGAAGCATTCACGGGTCCCTCAAAGAGCCTGGCTCATGGAAAAATATTTTTAAATGAAATTCCACAGGACTAGTGCAGGGAACTGAGCAAAGAGGAGGGAGGGAAGGCACCGGGCACACGGCCCGAGTCCCTGGCTGCCGCCACCTCTGCTCAGAGCCAAGAGGACACGGGAATGAGGCTGTGTCTGAGGTTCAGAGCTGGCGGGAGGGGGAGGTGCGCACTGCTCTGCACACTCCAGTGTGGCAAATGAAGGGATCCTGAAATCACCGCCAGAGGTCACCTCTGGAATGGCCCCACGTGGACGCAGGAAATGCACTGAAGGCCTTCTCAGCCTTCCTCCCTGTTTTTGTGACTTGGTTCTTGCTGACCCTGACACCACCGTTACTGCTACACAATCGCCAGCCCGGACTTGGTGGGATTCTCTGTGTGAGAGCTGGGTGGAAGGGTCTGAGGAAGGGTCTCTGACATGCTGAGCCTCCATGGGTGTCATCTTGTGCCTACTTCCCATCACATCTCTGTGCAAACCTCCCAGCTCAGCCACTCCTCCTGCAAGCCTCTCTTGAGTTGCTGCAGCCCTCAAACTGGAATTAACCCATGCCGTGCGGATTGAGAGGAGGGGCGGTTAATTCTAGTTTGGGGGCTTCAGTCTTAACACTTTGGATCTTGAATCATGATTCTGAGCCCATGTCTCTGCTCTCCTGAGCATACTCCACAGGGCAGTTGGGGTCTCATCCAACACACCCAGCCTATTCAGTATTAAATACTGTTCAAAGTACAAATAGAATTCTAGCCTTAGCCTTGCAAATAAGGGTGTCGGCTTTCTGTACCATTTCAAACAGCAAATGTGTGATGTTTGAAGGCAGAGCAACATCATTGTAAAAATGTGAAATAGGATCATGTCCATTTGGTCAGCAAATAGTGCACTCTGTGAAAACCCTTTGGTTAACTAGCAACACCTGTAACATTTACCTTTCAACACAGTGACATTTATGTGAAAATAAGGCATAAGGGTGCTCTTAGTATCAAGGAGTTAGAGGGTATGTCAGCATGCAAACACACCACTTGCTGCCGATCACATCTGTGACCTCTGAGACACGCCACCAACACTTGCCTGTGATTGAATTATGATAATTATCTAGCCTGCTGTATATCTTTGTCCCCTCTAACTTAGTCCAATGAACCCTGAGAAAAAAAGTTTAGGGGGGAAAAAAATCTAAGGAAGCAGAAACTTTTTTAAAGCACTAAGTCATGATCAAATAAAAGATTTTATTTTTTAAAGGATACATTTACATATCGACACATAAGCAAGACATCAGAAACTTCCAAAATAGAAAGCAGAGCCTGAACCACCACAGGCTTCGGTGACACTTGGGAGTCATCGGTCGCCTACTTGGGAGAGAAAATCCCACATTTCAGTGCGACCACCTGGCATGCTGTAGAGTGAGTTCAGCCTTCCTCATTGGGGTTTCAGTTCAGGGGTCTCTTCTATGTCTCCCTCTTCCGTGTATTCTGTTATGGTAGAGGTTTGAGCGAAACCTGCATGAAAGGACCACTGTTTAGAGTGATGGTTAGAGAATGGATGGTTACAGAGTAGTGGTGGGTGGGGAGCAGGAAGGAAAGGGGGATAATTTCCCACCTGGCTCCTGAGGCCAATGATCCTGAGGGCTTTGGGGTCCCAGGTAGCAGACAGGTTCCAAATGCAGGGTTGGCCACACCCCAGATCTTCAGCTTCTATTGGATACCACTGTGAGCTAGATTTTAAAGTTCCTTTTTAGTTTGATGGTAGTTGTATTTTTCAAATTTCTGCATCCTATTGAATTTTCTGAATTGCTTTCTTTTTTAAAAATATCATTTTTAAAGTTCTCAATCTTCAAGATTCCAGATCAAGAGGGGCTTTGGACCAAGGCTGAGGGCAAACCAGCAGGGGGCAGTCTTTCCCCAGAGAGAAAATCTCAATGCCTTACCATAGATCAAGGCAAACTCTGATGGGCATGTGTGGGTGTGAGACTTAAGTGTGAGCAATGGAGGGAGAGGGTTAGCAAAGCAGGAGCTCAAAAACTCAGCGTGGCCTCATCCATACATACTCTTGACTCTCCAGGAGCTGTGATAAGACACTTGAAAAAGTGACAATACCCAACCCCTGGCCATTCTTTAATGTGCTGTGGCTCAATCCAAACTGTGCACACACAGCCTTAAATACACCAGTATAACTCATGGGCCTTCGTACTGTTGGCACTTAACACAGAAGAAACAGGCAGTAAAAATTTTACATGCACATGAATGAATTGCCAACGCCACTGCTGTGACAACAAATGATACAAGTGGCAAAGGCTGATCCTTGTCAGATGGCCTCAGAAAGATCAACTGAAATCAGTTTGCATAATTATCCAGTTGGGTTTTTTGAGGGCAGAGGGTGGTGGAGTTATAGGAAAGTGCCTCATCCATTGCACTGGGAGTGCCTGTTAGCGGGACTCTCCCCAGTACTGTCCCCCCAATCATGGAGCAGCTCCAATCAATTTGATGTAAAAATAGTCAGAATAGTCAAATGGCAGCCATTTTCATTCTGCCTTCTAACTATAAAAAATATGAGAAGAACTAGAGGCCCGGTGCACAAAAATTTGTGCACTGGCAGGGGGTAGGAGGGAGGTGAGGGAGTAGGGGGGTGTCCCTCAGCCGGACCTGTGCCCTCTCACAGTCTGGGACCCTTCAGGAGATAACCACCTGCTGGCTTAGGCCAGCTCCCTGGGTGGCAGATGGCAGGCCCGGATCCTGCGCTGGGTCACAGACAGCAGGCCCTCTGCCGCGCTGCCCCACCCCGCCGCACATGGCAGGCCTGGCGGGTGGCGGGGCGCGGGGCAGGGGGATCGTGATCTACCGCGCCCCACCCTGCCGGCCGCCGGGCTGCGCACACAGACGGTGGGCAGGCGGCTTCTGGGGTCGCACACGGGTGCCTGGATGGCGGCTCGCGCTGGTGGCTCATGCTGTCCAGCCCTGCCTGCAGTATACAAATTAGCCACCATCTTTGTTGGCGGTTAATTTGCATATCGTGCTGATTAGCCAATGGGAGGCGTAGCGAAGGTATGGTCAATTACCATGTTCTATTATTAGATAGGATTTGAAGGAATAGTCAGAATAGTCAAATGGCAGCCATTTTTATTCTACTTTCTAACTATGAAAAATGTGAGAAGAATCTGAAGGAAAAACAGGATGTTTTACTAAAAATTATTCTCAGGACACTGGAGCAGCAAGTCAAATACAGAAAGTCATTCTAGCAACGAGGCCAGGGGACCTATTGGAGAGAGGAACGAAGGAGGTTTCTGTTTTCATGCTGGATTCAGAGGCGAGGAGCCTAACTTTCCACAGGCTCATTGTCCCCGCAGAGTGAGCACAGCAAAGCTTGTTGGGATCCTAAGTCACTGCTTCTATGGCCCAGGCACTGGAGCGCAAAACAAACTTCGTTAACTACAGGTATACTCATTTTTGAGAAAATTGTGGCTACTTGTTCCTTACTCCTAACAAATGGAGAGGAGCCCTGTGAGAGAGCCTGTGGTGCTTGCGTAATGGTCACCTTCCTGGTCTCCTGAGGACACACCCTCGGTGTGAAGGCTGTTGTGTTTGGTTGGCTTGTTTTCCCAAAAGAGGCTGATATTATTCTTGCATTAATTACCCTTAAAATTGCCAAGAGATAAGAGGCGGGAAGATGAAAAGGGGGGCCCTGATTCTATTTAGTAGATGAGAAATACAGATTCACAGAAAGTAACAGAAATGGAGAGGCCATGTCAGGATGAGGCAATGTCCTGAGGGTGAGTTCCTCATGTCAGGCTCCTGGGAGGAGTATGTTCTCTGTCCCCCCACTGGTCCACCTTTACATGTCGATGAAAGTTTGTAAGAAGCAAAAAAAGCTGCGGGTGGCCAGGTGCACATCCCCAGTCACTCTGAAGCAGGAGAGAGCAGGGCACTCGGAGAAGCACAGCTGTGCCTGCTTTAATGAAGGTTAAGCCCTCCTGCCTGGAGCGGTGGGAGCAGCCAGCTGCTTCCTTGGGTCAGGAGGCAGTGATGGCACCTGGAATCCCACAAAATGTACAAACGAGGAGGAGCAGATCCCTGTCTCAATATTCACGCCTACAAAGATGGGGATGCGTGAGGGGAGCAGGCCCTTGCCTAGGACCTCACAGCTCTGTGCCCGCCCTTCAGGGCATCACAGTGAGGTCTGCAGCACTCTTACCACCCAAGCGGGCAGCCCGATTTGATCATACTGACAATAAAGTCACCCTAAGGAATGTCCTTCCACAGGGTGCCTCCCGGACCAAAGATCCCACTTGGGAAGTGAGACTCGCTACTGGGCTGGGTCATAACTGGGAAGAGCACTCCACCTCCAGTCGCCAGACCTACCATCTCTCCAGAGCCCAGTGGGGCCTGTGGTTGTTCCTAAATCACCCACTATTCCTGCCAGCCCCTGACTTGGTCTAGAGTCCCAGCTAGCAGACAGGGTGGGGGCCTTCAAAGAACCTGATAGTGGGTTTAGTCTGGCGTGACCCTTCCAGACTAGAGGCTCCTACGAGACAGCTTCCCTTTCACACAGCACTGGCATTTAGCATGGGTATCAGCAAAACAGACATATGACTTAAAGGGTTTTTTTCAAAATAAAATGTGTTTTCAAGACTTGTCCACCCAACAGCTTTCCTACGTCTTGGCTCTTGTCCAAAGGGCTAATCTCCAAGTGCCTGAGGCTCAGAGCAATCCCAGAAACCTGTGCAGCATGGGCACAACGGTGGTGGCACAGATGCCAACCGACGTGTAGGTGACAAACTTGTAAGGCACTTCGATCTCCAGCCTCCGCCGGGCTTCCTTGTTCCTGGTGACCACCTTGAACCAGGAGTATAAGACTTGCAGCGAGAGATTCTGGACAACTTGACGAACCAGGAGGATCAACACAATCCCCACCATAAATTTGGTCAGACCCAGAACCAACATGCCAGCGGTGAGCGGGGGGATGTGCTGGATGACAGGCAGAGCCTCTGTGGGCTCGGCCATGAGCTGGAAAAAATGGTTGATCCAGAACCCGATGGTCACCCCAGCCCCGGCGGCCATGATGGTGGTGGTGTCCGCCCTGGTGGGGCTGTAGTACTCAGACACGGGGTAATTGTAACACAAGAAGAACGGCACCACGATGGCACACACGGGGAAGAGGGGGCTGGCCGAGTCCAGGCGGTCGATGAGGGTCCAGGCGGGGTAGGTGAGGACAATGAGGACCGCGGTGATCAGGATGCCGCCCAGCACATCCTGCGGGGAGAGAAAAGCTAGTGAGTGCTTCCCTGTGTGCGGGCAAACTTTGGAGTCAAATATGGTTAACACGACCCTTAAAATGCACAATTTTTACATAGTTTTATTTTTTAATATGTTTGAAAAATGGAAAGTGGTAAAATGGTAGGAAAGATACAATAATCACGCTATTCACATTATGCATTTTCTTCCAGTGTTTCTGTCTTTTGGAAGAAATTCTGTGTTTGTTTTCTTAATGCATAGCTTTGATCACATTGTTCCTTCAATCTGCTATTATTTTTTATTTAAATTTATGACAAGCACTGCCATGGTCTTCACAGAGGTGGCACCATCCTCCTCTGGTGGCCGGGCTGCAGCTGCAGCTGGAGGGGGAAGGAGCCACAGTCACACAGCAGCAGCCACTCCTTGTTACCTACAGGGCTGTTTACCGGGGGTGGTTTGAGGAGTCGTTTTGGCTGTGGTGGTACCAAAGCTCCACCAGGACACCAACTCACTGAGTGGCTGTGAGTTTTTCTTTTTCCTTTAGCATTCACATTGCAAACTTCATTAGAAGATGAGGTCAATGTAATTAATGGACGAATACGTCTAAGCCAGAATAAGGAGCTTGCTATGGTTTTGTTATAGTTTCATGTGGATTATTTTGAGAGCTTACAGTTGAAAATTGTAAAACGTTTCCCCCAGCGCATTGGAAAATCTGGAAGATGCCAGAAAGTAATACATATGCATTGTAGATAATCTGGGAAACATCGAAAAGTGTAAGAAAAAAGTAGATCCTTCATCATTTCTCTTGGAATTCTTGGAAGGAGATGTTCCTTCTTCTTTTGAGCACTGTTCCCTGTGGATTTATACCCTCTTATTTAGCAGACTTTTAATATTTCCACTACCTAGAGCCAACCTTGGCTATATTCTGGCATCTTACTTTCATATGTATATATATATAATAGAGTTCTAAAGGATTGGTCTTTCATTTTATAACAACCTCATTATTTCTCTTGCTTAGTTCCTAATGACATCTTGAACAAGAGGTGAGAATTAAACCTTAGGAAAAATCACTGAGGCTACAGTAAATTTCAGGATGAGTGGGCCTGAAATTCTGTAATTCAAGAGGGAACGAGGCTAGTGTGTGTGGATCTTGGTGATCCTTTGGGGCTGGAGAATAGAGAGCAAACACAGGTCGGAGACACTTCAGACAAGACCCTGAAGTCCGATCCACTCCATAAGGACTGCATGTGGGAGCAAAGGGAGCCGCTGAAGTAGCTCTCACTGGGTACCAGCTAAGGAGACTTTCACCTTTAAAGGATCATTCTGACCTCAGTGAGGAGAACAGATGGGGGAGACCGCCTGCCTCCTCAGAGGAAGCCTCGTGGCCCCACTGTCTCCACATGGCACCTGGGCTTCACCTGCTCTTTCTTCTGCCACCATCTTTCTCCTCAATGATCCTCATGGTCTCCTTTCCCATGATTCCTTTCCCCATGCCTATTCATATGCACTGATGTTGACTTATTTTTGAAAAAAGGAAAAGTCCTTCATTTAAGCATCCTGGTTACCAAAATTAAGTCACACTTTCGGATTAAATGTTCTGCACCAGTTGCCTCCACTTCCTCAATGTGAAACACAAGTGCTGTTTAAATTCCTAGACTTAGAATACACCATTTTCAAAGGCCACTCAGACACTTGGTGGTTGTTTTTTTCAGCATCTATGTCTTTGACCAAAGAGCCTCATATTTTCCCTTGGGAATCCATGAGGTTCTGGGAAATTATGGAATTGGAGCACATGACCTAGGTAGGCCAATCAGTGCACTGTATCTCCTAGTGGCAGTGATCAGTAGAGGAGTGGTTACGTGACCCAGGCTAGCCCAATTGGAATGAGTTGTAGGGCTTTGACTTGGAATTCTTGGAAGGAGACAGTCTTTCTTCTTCTGAACACTGTGACCTGTGGATTTACACCCTTTTATTTAGCAGACCTTTAATATTCAGTTTTTATTAATGTTACCCTGCACCAGCCTAGCTCTTCTCTGACCCTTAAGAAGTCTCTCCTTTAGATCTTTCTCCTGTTTCCACATCCTAAACATGGGCATTTCCATAGATTCTGTCTTTAAGCCTTGCGTGTTTTCTCCTCTGAAGAGTTAGTATGGGCCTACCTTCCATTATCTGTCAGTGTGACTCTCACACCCATGTCTTCAGGTGTCTCTCGCAAACTTTAGTCCTGCACTTGTTAACAGAATGCTAGACATTTTAAAAAATATGTTTTTATTGATTTTATAGAGAGGAAGGGAGAGGCATAGAGAGAGAGAAACATCAATGAGAGAGAAATGTCATTGATCAGCTGCCTCCTGCAGGATCCCTCACAGGGGATTGAGCCTGCAACCAGGGCATGTGTCCTGACCAGGAATCAAACTGATGATCTCTTGGTTGCTGGGCTGATGTTCAATAGCTGAGCTACATTGGCCGGGCCAGAATGCTAGACATTTTCACCCAGAGGCCCCATGAGCCCCACAAACCAACTTGTCTGAAATAAAAATCACCCACAAACAGAAAAATGAGTAAAGGAAGTGAGCAGTCTATAGAAAAGGACTATGGACACCCCTTAAACAGATGGAAATGTATCTAAACTTACCCATAAAGAGATTTATGGTGAGGATAAATTAACACTTATATTCACACAAAAATTGGACATGAATATTTAAGCAGTTCTATTAATAATCACCAAAACCTGGAAACAACCACAATGTCATTCAGGGGTGAATAGGTAAACTGTGCTACAATCATACAACGGACTATTTCTCAGCAATAAAAAGCAACCAACTACAGATGCAGCAACAGCTTGAAATCTCCAGGAAATTACGCAGAGAGGAAAAAAACTATCTCTCAGGGCTACATACTATATGGTTCTATTTGTATGAAATTCTCTAAAAGATGTACCTATAGTGATGGAGATGGGATCAGTAGTTGCCAGTGTCCAAAAGTGGGGGGAGTGTGTGACTACAAAGGGATAGCATGAGGGAGTTTTTTTGGGGTGATGGAACTATTTTGTATTGTGGGTGTGTCTACCCAAACCTATGTGTATTAGAATCCACAGAACTATACACCCCAAACAGTCAATTCCACTGTTAATTTTTTTAAAAAATTACAAATTACATTTCAAACAAAAATTAAGAAGCTAGTGATCTCTTTCTTTGGCACTGAGTAACACTTCTGAGTGAACCGGTGCTGAGCGTAAAGTAGTGTGCTGGACTCTGAGGTTCCCAACGTGTCCCCTCCTCACCCCCACCCCGTGCTGAGAATGTGCCCCTCGCCCACCATCGTTAACAATAATCTGCAGGTGTGACAACATCCTGTTGATGAAACAGGAGAGGGGAAAAGGGACTCTGTCTATTAATCATATGAATGCAAAATGGCACAACCCTTATAGGGAGGAACTTGGCGATATTTTTTTAAAATTACAAGTTCATTTAACCTCTGACCCAGAATCTCACTCTGGAACTGGACCACACGGATACACCTGCCCACATCTGAAATGAGGCATTTACAAGCTGCCAGCTGTAGTTTGCTTATAACGGCAAGAGACTGGAAACACCCAGTTCCACCTGTAGGAACCAGTTCAATCTGCCCATGGCACGCTCACAGGTGGGAGCTCTGCGGCTGGAAGGAGGAGGAGGCTCGGATGTGGAATTTTAAAAAGCATGATGTAGCCCACCTGCTGTGGCTCAGTGGTTGAGCATTGCTCTATGCACCAAGAGGTCACGGGTTCGATTCCCAATCAGGGCACATACCTGGTTTCGGGCTCTATCCCCAGCAGGGGGCATGCAGGAGGCATGTTTCTTTCTCCCTCTCTCTTTCTCTCAAAATCAATAATAAAACACCCTAAGGCAATGCTGATGTGAGTCCCAATAGGAAACACTGAGAAATAGTAGCCTATCAATCAAGGGTCAGAGTCCTGCGTGCTATGGGTTGGCTTAAGCTATCATTCCAGGGTTTCTCTCACCACTTTCCAATCTGAACTTTCCACTGCAGCCACACAGCTCTACTTGCTTTGCCTAAACGTGCCTCGCGCAGTTTTATCATGAGAGCTTTGCATTCCTTTTATGTGCAGCGCACTTGAACCCTCTCTATCAAAACCTTATCAATTCACGTAAGGTTTCAGGTATCACCACAGTTGCAAATAACCTCTCCCTGAACTGCACGTGAAGGCACTTGCTCAATATCACTCAAAAGGCCCTCCCCTTATCAATTCACGTAAGGTTTCAGGTATCACCACAGTTGCAAATAACCTCTCCCTGAACTGCACGTGAAGGCACTTGCTCAATATCACTCAAAAGGCCCTTCCCTTATATTGCCTTTGCTGCAGGTCCTAAGTTCACAGGCTTTCCCCGAGTGGGTTATACCCCGGTCAGTAAAGATGAGCTCTCCTGCATGTATGCACGATTCCTCATTCCCAGCACAATGCCTAACACGCAGCAGACATTCCGTCGTCGTGACTGGAGAATTTAGTGCCCTTCTCTTATCCTGAACATCCAGAGTATTTAATATGGACTGTTCCAATACATAAAAGAAAAATTGCCTTCCCCCTCTGTCTTCCTCTGTAATTGCAGTTATCAAATTCCCAGGCATCTGGTTGGAATATTCATTCTACAACGAATTCTGTTCATCTTCAATACACCAGGAGACCAGACTATTTTGGCCCACAGATTCAGCACTTAAGCAAAAGTGCTTTTAGTCAGTGTGGCTGCTGGTGTAGTTTTTTTTCTTCTAGCCACACAGTTGGATTTTTAGCCATAAAAGGCGATAAAAAGACATTTAGGTTTTTCTGTAAGGAAAATACTTGAACCATCGCTCATGAGATTGCTAATTTGGGGCTCTAAGTTTTTAATAACAAACTATGCTAAAAGGCTTCTAAAAATAAGAACTGTAGTGCTTGAAACTTCTTGAACAGCTTTTACATGAATTTTTTTTCAAGCTACTAAATTCAGAAACCATAAAAGCTCACAATCTCCAACGTG